GTCTGTTGATCAGTGTGTTGATAAGTCTGTTGATCAGTGTGTTGATCAGTCTGTTGATCCGTCTGTTGATCAGTGTGTTGATCAGTCTGTTGATCAGTGTGTTGATCAGTGTGTTGATCAGTCTGTTGATCAGTCTGTTGATCAGTGTGTTGATCAGTGTGTTGATCCGTCTGTTGATCAGTCTGTTGGTCAGTCTGTTGATCTGTGTGTCTGTGTGTTTGCAGCCTTCGGGGCCGTGCTGCAGGGCAGTCTGTTTGGAATGGCTGGTTTACTTCCAGCTTCGTATACGACTCCGATCATGAGCGGTCAGGGACTCGCTGGAACCTTCGCTGCCCTCGCTATGATCTGTGCCATCGCAAGTCCGATCAACAACTTATCAATGATTACTTTGTGTTAATGATGTAAGTGTGATGTCATAACAAGCCCCCCCCCCCTTAGGTGGATCTGAACTTCATGACGCAGCATTCGGTTATTTCATCACCGCCTGTGTCGTCATTTCTGTTTCACTCCTGTCATACGTCCTGCTGCCGAAACTGGTAACACACACTCACACACACACACACACACACACTCACACACACACACTCACACACACACACACACACTCTCACACTCACACACACACACACACACACACACACTCACATCAGTAAAACCTCTCGTGATCTGAAGTCATATAATCTTTTCTGTTCACATGACATGAGACGAGATCTACAATCAGTAACTTAAAGAGAAATGAAAATCACAACACATCAACACACGGCTCAGAAACTCTGCTGCATGTTTCCTGTGAACCTGGAGAAACATGTTGACATGTTTTCTGTCATGTTTAAGTTTTATCTTCGTATGAACTTTCATCTCATATTTTTTTCATGTTTGTGTTTCAGGAGTTTTTCCAGTTTTATCAAGAAAAAAACAAGAAACAGAGAAAAGACGACGAGAACTCAGTGAATCTGATGAATGAAGGTTCAAATACACTTGTACCTGTATATGTACATGTATATGTACATGTATGTGTACCTGTATATGTACATGTACCTGTATGTGTACCTGTGTATGTACCTGTGTATGTACCTGTGTGTGTACCTGTGTATCTATATATGAACATGTGACTTCTTCTCCTGCAGACAGGAAACAGGAAGCAGCTTCTGAAACTCAAAACATCTCCATGGTGAAAATATTTAAAAAGGTCAGAGACAGAAAAATGAAAGAATCAATAAAATCATTGTTTTTATCGATGATCAATCATCAGACAGAGGATGAGATTGTTTTTATTGTTTAGAATAAACTTTGTTGTTGACATTAACACGTCACCGTCACGAATGACCTTTAACCTCGTCCTGTCTTTGACCTTTGACCTTCAGCTCTGGCGGTTGGCTCTCTCCGTCTGTTTCACCTTCACCGTCACCATCGGCACTTTTCCCGCCATCACGGCCGACACCAAATCCACGCTAGGCTCCTGGGGTCAGTTCACACGCTGTTGTTGTTTGTTGTTGTTTGTTGTTGTTGTTTGTTTGTTGTTGGTTAAAAACGTTGTGTAACTCGTCGTTGGGTTCAACTTCTCTCTCTTGTGCTGTTCAGGTCTAGCACTTTTGACCTTTGACCTTTCTGTGGTGCTTTGGCTTACCCCCTTGGGTGTGTTTGTTTTACAGACCTGTACTTCATACCTGTCAGCTGTTTCCTGCTCTTTAACCTGTGTGACTGGAGTGGGAGGAGCTTAACAGCTGTCTACATGTGGGTGAGTTTCAGAGACACCAAACGCACCTACACGTCATCTGTCTCCACCCGGTTCATACAGTCTGTCCTTTGTCCCTCACCTCTGTTTGTCCTCTGTCTCTGACCTCCGTCTCCAGGACATACAGCAGATACATTGATCACGTGTTGTGTGTGTTTCCAGCCTAACAAGGACAGCATGTTACTTCCTGTGTTGATTGTGTGTCGCGTGGTCTTCGTGCCGCTCTTCATGCTGTGTAACGTTGAGCCTCGTCTCCACCTGCCCGTCTTCTTCCACCATGACGGCTTCTTCATCGTCTTCATGATCCTCTTCGCCTTCAGTAACGGATACCTCGCCAGTCTCTGCATGTGCTACGGCCCGAAGTAAGAATCAATCATGATCAATGATCAATACATTTTGTTTTACATATCACTGATCCATCATCATCATCACCATCATCATCATCATCATCATCATCAATCACAGTCAAAGACAATAAATTCACACATCATCAATAAAAACTTTTGAATCAATTATTCATTAGATTGGAATTAGCACTTTATAGATGTAACCTCCAGGGGGCAGCAGATTGTCATCTTCATTAAAGTTTCAACT